TGTAGTAAGCTCAGATTTCTGTTAGTGTAGGAAAAAACAACCTAGTATTTTAGAAAATGTTTCAATACAGGCGTTGCTTTGGAGGATTGGTTACCTTAATGCTAGATTCTGGATGTCCGAATAGCTGTTTAGCTTCATTTTCTATGTGCCCACTGTTTGTTCTAGATAGTTATTAGTAAATATAGAGTTGACAATGGAACACTTTATAGAAAATATTAATTTATGATTATGGTTTGAAAACTGACACAATAGCAATCATTACTTAACACCTCTGATTCCTGTTTGGTGTTTAAATAAACAAAAAAACATGCTGTCTACTCCTACTAGCTTGGCGGAGCTAACACAGAAAGCAGCGGTGAACAAAAAGGCCTCCATGGGCCGGATTCGGCCCACTAAGTGAATTGATCCAGCCTGCAGAGGTCCTGCTGCTTCCCCCACACCCAGGCCAATTGAAGTTTGGGGGCGGGAAGAGCGCATGAAGTCTCCTCCCACTCTGCAAGGAGCTCAGACTTAAAGTCAACCACCAATTGCTGCTCATCTGGCAGTTGACTCCAAGCACGGAGCTCCCTTGCAGAGCGGGGGTAGGGAAGAAGGGACTTCAAGTGCTCCCTCTCCCCAGGTCCTGATTGACCTGGCGGCAGCAGGGCGGAGCACGTGGGTACCTAGAGGGAACCACCTGAACAGCTGGTGGTTCTCTTTGGGGTGGGGGGCAAAGACTTTGAAGGGCCAATCAGGGCCTTTGGGTGGGGAAGCATGGAAGTGTTCTGGCCTGCTCCTTCTGCCTGACGCCCCGCCTCTTACACTTGAGGCCCCACCTCTTCCGGGGGCAGCCTGGGGCACTTCAAAAATGTCTGAAATAGCCACTGGTCAAAAATTATTGCCCACCTGTGGGTAAGAGTGAAGGATATATTCTATTTCTTGTTCATTAATACAGTTATCACTTATATTTGTGCAAATCTTTTGAAAACAATTGGGGATGCATGCAGTTATCACGGACAACCTAATATGTTTGCAAGATCCTCTTATTCTTGTGGTGATACGCAAGAAGGAGAGAACTCAGCAAGACTCTCATAGTCTAGATAGAATTTGCAGACCTGGCAGTAACTCTTGCTGCCACACATTATTTGTAGATTGCTTGTAGACTGCTTGTATTTTATGTTGAAATCTGTATTTGGCATTGTAAATCGTGCAATGCTCTCTCTTTATAGCTATGTTGTATTGCAGTTCTAAATGTTCCTTCTTGGCTTTTTCTTTCCCCTTTTACCCTCTGCTCTGTCAGACATTGGGGTAGGCACAAGTTTCTGTCTTCCTAAGCTTTAGTTCCTTGTCTTGCTGTTACTTGTGTCTGATTCAACTTCTTAAAACTATCCTCTTTTTTTTTTTTTTTTTAAGGTGTGGTGTTTTTTCTTTTAATTTCTGCCTGCCCTGACTTTAGTTTTACCAGGTTCCTCTTTGTGCCTGTTTTTGTTGCTGTCTCCTTTTTGTTTCTGTTTTTGTACCTTTTCCTTCAGCAGGCTACTTCCTAAGCTTTTATTTTTGTAGCTATCACCCAACTCTTCATTATTCCTGATCTTTATTCCCTACTCTTATATTGAAAGATTTCCTTTTCTATATGGCTAATCTGGATGACCCCATCTCTGGATGACCCCATCTCATCAAAACTAGTCTTACTCTCCTTACTCCCATCTAGTCTTCACAAAGAATTGGTTCCCTGAATTCCCATTTTTACAGCAACCATACTTCATTTAATTCTCTTCACTTTCTTGCTCTCTTCAGCACAATCACATTTTTTGTGTGACATCCACTCTATAAACTTCTTTTCCTCAGCAGACAACACAACTTCTTTCTTTGATCTCTGACCTCTCTCCCATGCTTTCGTTTTTTGATCCACCTGTCTCGCTGCTTTTGACTCATTTAATCCCCTAACATCAGTCTGTGTCAAAGCTCTTTCTGCTCTCCCACATCTTAATTTCTGTTGCATTTTTCTACTGCTTTCCCCAGTTTGAAAAGCAAGGTGTCCCAGAGGCAAGATAGACTGTCTTCACTACTCATTTTGTTCTTTCAGCATCTCTTAAAATTAATATTAAAATTCATGTAATTATAAGTTTACATTTGAGAGGAAGGGAAGTGATTACAGGAATTCCCACTTCTATTCTTTTATAAGTTGAAGAGAAGGAAAAAGTAGTCAACATTATTTAAATTCTTCCTGTTTTAAAAGGATGCCAATTTACAAATGACATTTGTCTTGTTACAAATAACACCAAGATTATAATAATTGAAAGAAATTTTAAAGCATATTTATCTTTAGATTTACTTTGTGCATTTGACATCACTAGTGTGTGGTCCATTTTGCTGTTTTCCCCTTTAAATAGTTTCTGCTGTTTCTTTGGGTCTTGTATGTAACTTAAAAGATGTAAGAGTGCAAAAATTGGCAGAGAAACTCGGTGCACATTTATGACTTCAAACTAATTTTAATAAACTTTGGAAAATTTCAACATTTAAAATGATCAGTGTCCCTTTAAGATGATTTCAGACTTAGTTGGCTAATATTATACTAGTTTGTCCAAGAACTAAGTTAAAATATTGTTTTGGCAAACAATAAAAATGATAATTTCTCAGGTGACATTTATCTACAGCACAAAACTGCTACTTAATTTGTCATGATTAATTTTCTTAGAACAAAAGAGGTCTTGGACTTAGAGTAAAAGGGAATTTGCATGGTGGGCATGAGGTGTATTAGCAGAGTACATAGTTTTATACAAATAGTTTTCAATTTCAGAAGTACTTCTGAAATAAGTCACTGTTATAATCTAACTTGTTTAGCCCCTGGTTCTGCTTAGTTGTTTTGAAAACAGATACTAGTTACATGACAGAACTCACAAAAAAGGAGATCAGATTCAAGAAGTTGTTTAGAGCTTAGGTATGTTTCAAGGCTGGTCTTCTCGGACTCCAAGCTTTAATCTTTTACCTACTTTGGATTTTGTGTTTGTTTTTTCTTTTCTTTATATTCAGGTTTTTCAAGTTAGAGAGCGCCTTGGTGCTTGACTAGTGGAGTAAAATAATAACTTAAACTGTGTTCTGATGGGAAGAGTTGGCTAATCAGTAATTTGATATAATTTGCAGTCCTATTGACACCTGACTACATGTGTCTGAAGTCAGTTGTACTTTAAAAAATGAATTTGAGGTGAATGTAGACACAACTTTATTTAGCTATTTGTATAGCTTTTAAACATGGATTTAAGTTGCACATTTTAAGTCATATCTCACTTCCGTGTTAGTCAGAATTCACGTAATTCACAAGGGCTTTTATAAATGTGACATGATTCAAATGAGAGCAACAAAAGAAAAAGCCTCCATCAGAAGCTTAAGATGGTGAAAAAATAATTCTAGTGTAAATAAGGTTTTTCTGAAGTCTGTTTTATAGTTCAGCCCTCACTAATAAGTTGCTGTACTCTTTACACTAATAGTATAACAGCATGTCAGTAAGGCAGTACATTTGATGAAGGGTTCCTTCACAGTGTACGAATATGAGCAATGTTCATTCTTCTTAAAATGTCAGTCATGGCCATCTGCAGTTAACAGTAACAAAACATCACAAGCTTTCTTTCATTGTGAGAAGATGATTTCTGTCACAAAAATATGAAAATAACAATAAGGAAATTATGAAATTTATGAAATGTATTTAGGAATAAACCAGTACACAGTAGGTACTCTTATTAGAATGTGCAGGGCTTGACAAATAATGTAATCTATTGGCCCGTGGCGAGTAGATTACAACCTGGAAGAGCCGGCGCAGAGCGATCTGCGCATGCGCAGAACGATATGCGCAGAATGCAGAACCACGCAAAACAGTGCAGCTGGCGAGTGGGGCTCACTGCCGCTTGGCGAGCCCTGAGAATGTGTATAGTAAGCAACTAGAATTGAGAGATTTTTTTCCTAATTTTTTTTTTTAATGTTATAAGCTAGCTCTAGTAGGTTATGGAAAACTTTATTTGTTAATAGCAGGATTAACAGTTTGTTGAGGGATTTCATTGTGTTCTCTTAGATAAGTATATTTTGAAGTTGATTCCATAGCACTGAAAAGACCAAGCTGACCTGTACCTAAGCTGTTCAAAAGAATAGATGAGGACTTTGACTTGCCTTTTGTGGACAAAATCCAGTTTCAAATTGGTTTGATGTTAAAATAAAATAGTTGTCATAATACATATGTGTTCAGTGATAGGAATTTGCTTTGTTGCCAGTGTCACACAGTTAATAAGTATAAATGATTTCCAAATGAACCTGAAAGGTTGTTTTCCCCGTATTGCACCAAAGACATGTGTTTCTTTGAATAAATAGTGTGTAATAGGTTTTAAAAATTATTTGACTCAAACTTAACTGATTCCTAAAACTTACATTCAAGTTTAATTATGGAGATGCTGGCCATGCCTCCATAGTTGAGGTTGAGTTGTTTTTTTACACTTGAAATTCAGTCTGGTTTGCTATTTTATATATGACAAATCCAGTCAGTCATTTAAAAATTGCAGCATTTTTTGAGTGTATAGAAGCTTTTCTAATAACTGCCTAAATAGCAGTATATCTTACAATACTATTTTCTTATTTTGTTGCAAAGTAACTTTCAGAGTAAATTGATCGGAAACATATTTAAACATGAGGTTGGACACATACTTTGCATTTTTCTGTTACCTAAGATGATTTAAGAGCTGCTTTGTGCCTTCAGTCATTCTTTCATTCAAGTTACAAAATTGTAAATATAAACTGTGTTTATAAGACAGTGTACTTAGAACAGAAGAAATTAATTAGGACTAGCTGGAGTAAATTTACCATATTAAAAGTTTTTATCTGTTTTGGTCATTTGTTTAAAGTGAAACTATTTTTTAGTTTGCTCATTTCTACTTTAACTTCTGGTAACAAACTTGACAAGGTAATGAGGATTAAAATAGAAATATTTCAAAATGATTGACTTCATCTTTATCACATTTTTTTCTGTCACATAATAGGTTAAATATTATAGACACTTGGCACCCGATCACTTGCTGCAAATATGCCATCGACTAGGACCACTTCTAGAGCAAGAAATTCCTCAGAGTGTCCCTGGAGTGCAAACCTTATTAGGAGCTGGAAGACAGTCTTTGCTTCGCACAAATAAAAGTATGAAAATCTCACAAGGGGGCTTGAAGACTTCATTTTCACTGTTTCATTCTGTATTTTTATGTGTTTGTAATTTTTTGTAAACAGGTTGCAAACATGTTGTGTGGAAGGGATCCGCTCTTGCTGCATTACATTGTGGAAGGCCTCCAGAGTCGCCAGTAAACTATGGCAGTCCACCTAGTATAGGTAAGTCAATTTTAACATACAGCATGTCAGTGCTAGTACAACATTTTTAAGTTCAGCAGTATTTGTTTATTGGGGTAACAGTATGTTAGTATTTACTCTTTTACGTGCTATTTACCTTGTGCATACCATTATTTCTGTTAGGATAGTCCATTATTCCATTTTAAACATGACACAATGTATGTCAAAATATTATCAATTCTGTTTTGAATGTTTTTTGTTTCATTTGAGCTTTGAGGTATGCATTTGGGTAAAATATTTCAAAATATGCAAATAATATTTTGCCAGCTAATAACATAATAGCAAAAATGAAATCCTAATATGCTGCAAATAGGATAGTCTATTGTGGTAATGAATTATTTGGACTCAAGATGTGCGGACTGTCTTCACTTCTGGAAAATAGTATAGGTTGCTTGCGAGAACTTTTTCTTTAAGGAGATTTTTTTTTTTTTTTTTTTTAGTGTAGGGACTTGAAACAGGAAATATTTTCTCTACTTCAGTTGTTTCATTCCATTTAATTATTTCTTAGTTTTGTCCAGGGTTGCTTTGTGTTGTAGCATGAAGCATGCACACATTGTCTCCGTTGGGTTGAAAAATGGCAGAGTAGCTGAAGACTAGACAAATATTTTTGTTTCCTCCTCTTTGTGGTTCTTCCTGTTGTAAAAAAGATAACAGTGAGCAGAAATCTCACATTTTGAGCTTCCATCCATGCAATCCTGCCGTAGTTCCCCTTTTCATAAGGGCAGTAACTCAGTGAAAATAGGTATGTCAAGTAAGCGAAAACTTAGCATATCTTCAGGCTTAACACTGAGTTGAAAATACCTTGTCTTAAAGTTCTTTAATGAGTTGTTGGGTATCTCTTACTTTAAGAAACTAAATTAGTCTCCTATTCCTCCATTGTAAACTCGCCAGTAAAAATGATAGAGCAATCTTGATACTAACTTTTTTGCAATGGTGATGTGAATGGAAAGAGACTTGTTTAAATTTAATTTTTTCTTAAGGGAAACTAAGTTTAAAACAGAAAACACATTCTCTTCTTTGGAACCTGCTGGGAGAAAGGACATGAGAGGCAGGGACAGAAGAAAACAAAAATAAATCTCGAGAGCAAGTTCTACCAGATGTCTTGACTAGCTCTTCTTGGACTGAAGTGAGGAGCTTCCTCAATTAGGTTCTGAGGCCTTATACTGTATATTAAGCAGCAGCAGGGTGGATTGATTTAACACTTAATCATGATTTAAATCAAGATTAGTTGGTTGATTTAAATTGATTTTAATCTTGTTTTGGATTTACTACTTAGTTATTTTCCTAAAAAAAGTTTTCATTGGTTAGTATATAAAACATTTCGATGGAACAATAAATAACCAATACATTTAAATTTTGTTACTTTCTTTTAAGTAGGAGACACATTTATACATGTTTAAGCAGCCATATAACTTAAAATACATTTATTCAGTCTTAATTTTTCCCTTTTTAATTGTTAGAAAAGTTATTTACTTCGTATTTGTGTTAAGTTTCAATTGGATGGGAATTCAGTTCAATTTGAAATATACAAAAACAGTATTGAAAAATTGCTTTTATTAGTTAAATAAGACTAAGTGTACTGTATTTTTTTCTTATGTAATCATATCAGTACTTGTTTTGTGTTTTTTGCATTGTTTGTCTTCTGGCCTTTGTGGACCATATTTTCAAAGGTATCTAGGCACCTAAAGATTCATGCTGTTGGGTTTTTGAAAAATTCCAGTAATTATCTTTAGGTGCCTAACTACCCTTGAAAATCTGGCCCCATATATTTAAGTTTTGAGAATTAGATCTCATCCTGTCCCACCTGGTTTTAATTCATAGATGGAATACAGATCAGGAAAACAGCTCAGTTAGTTTCTCAGCTTTGAATGAAGTAATCCAAATTAAGAAAATAATTTAGCTAGCAACTGCTGAGAAAATGAAACCAAAAGTTGTTAGAGTTTTTCTACACAACAGAAAGTGAATGTTCTTACATTGTAATTAATATAAAAACCAGCATTTGCTCAATTGTAAAGATTTTAAAAAATCTAGGAGTTACACGTTTACATAAATACATGTTAGTTAACATACCTATTGCCTACTCAAACTGGTTATGTTGCACAAATCATATATTGGAAGGGGTGCCCAGATTTCTGCCTTTCTTTTGGAAGGAATGTTCAGAGTGGGCTAGGTGAGTTCTGACACCTAGTACTGTGCATGTCCTGATCAGTTTTCCTATGCAACGGCCACTCTGCTCTCCAGGCTCAATTATGTTCTCCAGTTCTCGGTGCCTGGGGATTATTAAGTGTTGTTGACTGTCTAGGATGGTACAGTCCAGTCTGGTGCTCATATACCTATAAGGAGAGGAGCTGCCCCTACTTGTGCCAACAAATGGCTGAGCGCCTGTTTGGGCTATCCAGCAGCAGCACCTCCATATAAAGATTCTCCCTGTACCTTGAGCTATACCCCCATTCCCAGCCCACAGCCACTAGCTATACTCCTGCCCACACCCTGAGCCCCCACCCCCATCTGCTCACTTCCCCTGTCTACTCCATCTCTGCTGTAACCTGAGCTACAGCCCTGCTAACTAGGGATGTGAAGTGGTTAACCAGTGAAATATAATGTTTAGTCAGTTAACTGATTAAATTGCATTTTACATCCCTACTGCTGGCCTATAGTTGCACACAGTCCCTAGCTCCGTGAGTAGTTTTCAAACCTTTTGAGGTGAGCCTCCTTCTTTGAGCTATAATTGTTGGTCTCTTTCCTTCCCCCAATTATCTGCAAAAAACCTAGAATTTGCGGAATCACAGTTAGAGTTGCACTCCCCTGCAATCTGAAATGGCACCCTTGTGATGCCTTTTGGACCTGATCTTGTGCTGTACTTAGGACTAAATCAAGAATTGCATTTTCCCTCGTTTGTTCCAAGAAGCAGTATTTATGGTATCTAGAAGTTTTATCTATGCATCCTGTCCTGAGGTAACATGTACCCAGTTTATGTGGAATCAGTTGAAATCCCCCATTATCATTGTGTTTTCTGGTGGTGTACTCTCTCTCATCTCCCAATAATTTGCAGTCACGGTCAGCATTTTGGTCCATAAGTCGGTACAATATTCCTATTGCTGTCATCTTATTATTCAGGCATGGAATTTCCATCCACAGAGATTCTGTGGTACAGATTGATTCATTTAAGATTTTTTTCTCTGGCTCTATACTTTCTTTCGCATATAGTGCCACTCCATCATTAGTGCAATCTACTCTATTTTTCCTATGTATGTTGTATTGTATTACATTTCCCATTGTATATCAGCGAATTTCTGCGATACCTGTTACGTCAATAGCCTCATTTAATAGCAGGCACTTGAGTTTAAGTTATTTACACTTCCCAGAATTGGCCACAATTTAGTAGTCTAACCTGGTGAAATGTAATTAAATGGAACTCTGTTTTTGTTTGACTGCTTCTCAAGTTCTGAACTATACGTTGTCAACTTCTGTCTCCTGTCTTTAACGCATTAAAATTTGGAGGTTTGTTGTTGCAGCATGTTTTTATTGAAATTATTATAGCAAGTTTATTTTTAAAACAAATGTATTTAAACACAAAACCCAATTAAAATTTGATTTTATCATTTTTAGTCCTGTTTTTTAATCTACCCTGATAAGTAGTTTTCAGTTAATTTCCTCTTTTATCTCCCCCTTTCCACTCCCATGGAGCCATCATTTTTAAAAAAATAAGCAAGGCATTGAATCCATCCAAAGCAGGAGGACAAGAACATCATTGGAAAACATTTTTTCTTTTGGATCCAAGTAAAGGAATCTTATTAATTTGGTTCATAAGAACGGCCATATTGGGTCAGACCATCTGTCCATCCAACCCAGTATCCTGTCTGCTGACAGTGGCCAATACCAGATGCCCTAGAGGGAGGGAATGCAACAGGTAATCCTCACGTGACCCTCCTTTGTCACCCACCTACAGAGAAACAGAGGCCAAGGACACCATTCCTACCCATCCTGGCTAATAGCCATCGATGGACCTAACCTCCATGAATCTATCTGAGCTATTTTTTTGAACCCAGTTCAAGTCCTAGCCTTCACTGCGTCCTCTGGCAAGGAGTTCCAAGTATTTATTATATGGTTGTACTTCTGTCAGACATGGGAGCGAGCATACTAGCAACAGTAGGCTACAGGAAAATGCATAGATTTATTTTTTTTAATATGCTCTTTCACAGAAGAGTGAGAGAGTTTGTGTTTTTAGAGAATAGCTGGTTAAAGCTGCATTCTCCAGATGTCCTGTAGGTTTCACCAGAACCTTTTTGACAAGGTCTATTGAACTCAACTTAACTAGTAAATATAAAATCCATATTCTACATGAATCTTGTCTTTTCATTCAAATCTGACATTCTGAATACTTGGAGTTTCCTTAGATAAATCTTAATCTTCAAATATATTTGCTAGACATGCATTCTGGCTGAGACCTAAATGGCTAATTTAAAAAAAAGTTTTAACATCAGCAACTTTTTAAGTATCAGAAGTTCTTTTGTGAAGAACTAAATCAGTAGAGAACATGCAATTTTATATTCCAAGTTTTCTTAGACAAAACTTGATAATCAGGCTAGATAATTGAGGTCTAAAGTAACATTTTTGATCCTTTTTATTATCCAGCGCTAGAAATACTGGCTTGAAAAACAAATACTGAGTTAGCAACCATGAAATGAAGAGTAGTTTAAATAAAAACCTGGCCTTGAGTGTTGGTGGGTATATCGAGCATATTCTTCGGATGTTGGAGAGGAGGATCTAATCATGAATTATTTCTGGTCCCAACTTCTGGGCTGTTGGTGAAGGATAGAGGGCCAGTGTGTCAGTTGCAAAGTTTTAATCGAATGTAAATCTCTATGTGGCACATCCTTTTTTTGTACTTAACAGCAGCTGTTTGCCTTCAGCCTTCTACTCAGTACATATTTTTCCCTATGACTCCAACATTACTTTAAAAGCTTTTGACAGTCATGGGT